AAAAAAAAAAATAATTTTCATAAAAAATTTCTCAAACAAAATAAAAAATGTTTGGGAGACTTGTGTCTCCGGTAGACCAAACATTTAAGGGTGGCCGCCCTTTATTAGTCAATTTAACACCGAAGATCTTAGGTCAGGTGCTCTAGTCATAGTGTAATTATGGAAATCTGTAAATACGGAAAAATATAAATTCTGATAATTTATAAGAAAGACAATTGTAGACGTAGTCATCATACGAATTGAGCGCGAAGGAATTTAATATACAAAATATAACAGAGAGGAGATATATTTTCCTGTGACCGCTGCTCCGGGAAGTTGTCAAGTTATCGGCGACAGATATCCCTACAATTACCAGCTCCTGTGACCGCTGCTCCAGGAAGTTGTGTAGTTATTTGCGACGTTGTGTCTTGGATTTTTTAAAAATATAAAGTTGTTTCCCGATACTGGTATTAAATATTTTTAAGGGCCGATAACTGCCACCAGCTCCTGCAACCGCTGCTCCAGGAAATTATGCAGTTATTTGCGACGTTTAGTCCTTAATTTTTAAAAAATACCAAGATTTTTTTTTTTAATTTTGGTAAAAACTATTTTCGAGGGCCGATAACTGCCACCAGCTCCTGCGACCGCTGCTCCAGGAAGTTGTGCAGTTATTTGCTACGTTTAGTCCTTAATTTTTAAAAAACACCAAGATTTTTTTTTTAATTTTGGTAATAAAAGCTATTTTCGAGGGCCGATAATTGCCACCAGCTCCTGTGACCGCTGCTACAGAAAGTTGTGCAGTTGTTGGCGACGTTGTGTCTTGGATTTTTTAAAAATATAAAGATTTATCTCCCGATACTGGTATTAAATATTTTTAAAGACTGATAACTGCCACCAGCTCTTGTGACCGCTTCTCCAGGAACCATTGAAGTTGTCGACAACAGATTTCTCTATAATTTTTATAAAAAACCAAGATTTATGTTTAGATCTTTTTTCATAATCTTACCCAATTATTTTCTAATTCGTGAATGTTTTTTTATTCTAAATTTTTATCATTCATTTGTTTATTTAATTATAAACAAATAGTTGTGATATTTTTTATTGGTTATAATAATTTGTTATCCATGAGTCGATGGTGATAGATCGTAAGTCTAATGATGCGTTCGGATTAAGCGCACCACCGCCCCGGGGCGCTATCGCTATTTAATTTTCGTCGCGAAATAAAATGAGATAGCGATAGCGCTCCGGAGCGCTGGTGCCGGTTAATCCGAACTCAACATAATGAAAAAAAACGTATGAATATTTGAAAATTATAGAACAATATGACCCAAAAGATTTCACAGCTTCCTGGAACAGTCACAAGAACTGATGGCAGTTATCGGCCCCCGAAAGTATTTAATACCAGTATCGGGAGACAAATCTTTATATTTTTAAAAAATCCAGGACACAACATCGCAAATAACTGCACAACTTCCTGCACATCTTCCTGGCATAGCGACGTAGCAACATCATTCAAGGTAATGCATAGTGCAATATGGATGTCATTATTGAGATGATAATCCCCCGCCCTATATGTGAAGCGGATTACTAAGTGCATACTTACCGAAAGCTACTTTAAAGAAACACGTGGATGAATCAACTTAACATCACTTGTTAGATGATAACCGACCTATGGAACTCCCGGAAAGCCAGTGACTGGAATTCATCGCATTGTTAAATAAAAAAAACTTATTTAAAAAACCAAAAATAATTATTAAATAATTGCTATTAATTTATTAAAAATTGCTTACGTCTGATGGACTTGAACCCGGTACCTTATGGTTAACAGTCTTCTACGCTACTCACTGGCCTAAGTCACGTTCTTACAAGATCTGTTTATTTAACTTATATGATCGATATTGCAAAGTATCCTCAATAAGACACATCATTTTTTTATTATTTCTGAAATCTTATTTTTCCATATTTTTCATTTATTGATTTCCTTATTCACAGATTTCTAAAATTTGATGTTTCCATTTTCTGTAAAATTTCCGACCGTAAATAATCAATGAAACGCATTGTATAAAAATAATTATTAATTATCATTGGTATCCGGGGTCAAAGTTATAATTAAATTTATTGGACAATTATTAAAACGTTTAACGGCCGCTATAAAAAGACATTTAAATAAATAAACTTGTGTAATTATTATACTTACGATTGTGTTAAATTAAAAAGTTATTTTTATCAATATTTTTGAGAAAGTTTTCATTTTCTATTATTAAATTTTTATTTATAAATTTACTCTAGAAATAGATTAGAATTATTCTATAAAAAATTAATTTAAAATATCACAAATAATTTTTCTTACTGTTTAAATTAGCACTTTTTAAATCACATTTTTAATTGTAATTTTTTTCACAAAATTGAACGCATTAAAAAAAATTTTTTTTTTAAATAAATCCACGGATAAACAATTTTATAGGTGACCAAACCAAAGCCGAGGACTTTTTGCTGCGCCGAGGATACATACTGTCGCAGTTCAAAAAATTCCGACGAGTTGGTCGAGCCAAAAGTTACTTCGCAAGAAATGACGTTTACAAAAACACGTTGAGAAGACGAAGCCTGCCACCGCCTATCAAGCTTGATTTGAGAAACGATGTGCAAATTACTAATATTTAGCCGGCGATTTAATATCTTATCAGCGAACAGCTGCCGGTTTTTGTACAGTCTACAGCTCACGCGAGCTCCCTAATTGTATAGTTTTTTTTAATAAAATATTTAAATTAAATTTATTAGTTTGCATGTTATATAAAAAAAAGAGAAAGAGTTGAGTTGTAAAGATTTCTCTGGAGTACCAGAAGAGAGTCACGTGTCCACCTTGACGTTTAGTTACCAAATGTTTATCTTTCTCACGATATGGTAACACACTGATGACTTGCACCAGTACCCAGTGAGTCTTTTAACGCCCATTTCATGTGGGTTACAGAACACTCTACACGGAATGGGTCTAAAGACCAGCTAAGGATAAAAAATAAACAAATAAAAAATATGTTAGTTAAATAACATCATGTGTGATGTAGAAAAGTCGACAGTCGAGTCAAGTTATACCTTTACCTTAATATTAATACTCCTTTAGTCTCTTTCCACTCTCTCAGCTCTTGTCAATTTAGCTTCTCACTCTTGTCCAGTCGTTATAATACTCTTTACTCGACTTAGACTCGTAGCCAGGAGAGACAAGACCTGATAGAAGGATTTGTTAATATCTAATGAGACATTAAATGTTAAATTTTCTTGGATACAATTTTTATTGGGCCAAGAAAATTTTTAAATAAATAAAATTAAAGTGTTTAATTTTTTTTTTCTAATAGAAATTAATATTTATTTGTATAGAATTTTCTTGAAGAATTATTAACGATAAAAAAAAATTTTTTTCTTCATTTTATTAATTGAAAATTTTTTTTAAATTATTTTCTTGGTTCAAAAATTAATTAAAAAATTTTATTTCTAGTATTAAAATTAAATAAATAAAAATATTTTATATTTGCAACAATTTATCGATAAAAATAAAATAAAATTACGAAAGATATAGCTAAAAAAAAAAAAAATGAACATTAATTGCCCATAGAAAGCATAAAAGTTTAGCTCTAAAGAGGCAATAAAGTAAAAAAGGTTAAAAAATAAAATAGTATATGAGGAGGTTGGAGAAGTGAGGACATACGAGATTCGTTACGGTGATAACTACCGTGTACCAGCTTATAGCCTCACAATCGAGCTCTCAGAAGTGACGATTGACGTGAGGACACGCGTTTTAAATACGCAAAGGTAATTATTCTCCGGATAACAGAAAATATCTCGTGACTACTCAGCACACATGTCGCTACTTAAACAAACTACACGTCCAGCAAAAAATAAGTGAGCAAATATAATTATAAGAAATAAAAAATAAAATATTCGAGGACTTTCTCGCAATTACGACCGAGACTTCCCACACTTGGCTCTAATAATTATCGAAATTTTTTCGATATCTCGGCTCGTTTACTCTAACAATACCGAGCATTGTCTAGCCGAGTCGTAATTCGCAATTAGCCTTCTGATTAATTATCGATGCATCGCTTAATTATTATAATTATAGTTTTGAAACTCGTGCGCGGGTTATCGGATGAACCCGAGAGCGAGCTCTATCTGTCGGTGCTCTAAGTTAGTTCTCAGTCCGCTCTCGGGCTAGGCTGTATTTGTTTGTCTAACGTATAGTATACATAATCCTGCTTATACTTAATGCATTTTTTGATAATGGAGGCGATTAAACCGATCTGGGATCGGGATAGGGTTGCCTAAAAAAACCAAGGGTTAAATTATTTAACGGAAAGGGCGGACAACAATGCTAAATAACTTACGTTTGTTTTATTAAATAAATTCTCATTGAGCAAGTATCCGACTCCTAAAGTATCTGAGATGGTTTATATTGGGGGAGTGGTAGATTACCGATTACCCAAACCGTTCAGGTTAATTATTTTTTCTGTTATTAATTATTTATTACATTTTAATTTTATCTTCAAGCTTTTGTCTTTTTTTTTCTTCAAAATATTTTTATTCAAATTTTTTTTATGAGTTGTCATATATTTTTTTCAATTCTACAGAATATTTTCTGAAAAATGAGTACCCACATGCGTTTTTCGTCATATGTAAAGCTATAGGGTCACATATCACATGTGTAACATCACAAATGTTTGTAATTTTTTAATATGTTCTTGTGGGTAGTCATTTTACAGGGGATTTCATCCTCAATCATAAAAACATAATAAAAAAAATTTATTATTATTATTAAAATTACCCGGTACTTAATAATTTTAATAATAAAAAATTATTTAAAAAAAAAAAAAGTGTTAGATTGAGTAGCAATTACAAGTGAAGAATTAATTTAAAAAAAATAAGAGGGATTTGAAAAATGAAGTGTATTAACTCAGAAGTGATTGGGCGAAGCTGAGAAGAAAAATGAGTTCTCTCGGGCAAACGCAGAGGGTTATTCTCCACTACTTATATTATACTGGAAGGTGCATACTGTAAATGTAACCTTTATTTTATCCTTATTCTCGTTCCTCGAAGCGAAAGCCTCAATCAAATAAATAATTTTTAGGGCGAACAGGGCGGGCGCGAAGCCACGGCATAAATTATACGCCGACGCAACGAGGCGAGCATAATACCATCTTTCTCGGGCTTGTATACACTATATTACACTTCGAACAAAGTATGTACCAAGTGGTGCGCTCGGAACAGCAGTACCGTAAAAAACAGTTCCCAAAAAAAACAAAAAACTCGTAAAGTAAATTTTTAAATAAATAAATCGAGGGATTACGAAAATCGGCGGTAGTTTTAGTTTCTGTTGGGCCGAGCATTGGGGAATTAATTTTTTTTATGACAGACGCGTGACTCGATGTGAAATTAAGTGGCCTGTGGCTCATCAGATAACTAGACGTTTTTTATTTAGAAAAGAAGAGCAGTGCGCTGCAAAGGGAGGAGGGAGGAGGGACAAGAGGGCAAGAGGAGGAAGGAAAAATATTTGACCGGCATTGTTTGCGTCCCGGCGGACGATAATTCAGTAATGAAGGTAAGCAAACGTGACGAGGGCTATAATTACCGATACCACTATGGATAAAGAGTAAAACGATCCCTTAACTCTGCTGAGGTGCATTCACGGTGCTGCGCTCTACCGGGCCCGGGAGACCGAGATGGGACCGAGCTTTGACTTTCAGAGTACGGACCAGAGGAAAAAAACCGAGAAGACGCTCTTAGAATATGGGCAGCTCTAAATTAATAAATCAATGGCAGCCTTATCCGATCAGCCGTGGGTGGAGTTTGTTTGTTTAAGAGCTGGATTTATTAATTTTTCGCTGGGTGGTATTACAAACCTTCCATCCGGTCTATCGTGACGCCCCTATTGATATTTTCTCGTTCCTTCTGTGATGGCTCCACGCGGCTAATATTTTATTATTTTAACCACCCGAGGTCGCGACCTTTCAGCTCTACCAAATTCTTTTTATTTTATTTTTTCAATGTCGCAGACATTTTATTTAATTTTTATCACCTTTTGTGAGCAGAAAAAAAAAATTTACTTTAATTAAGTAGATTTAGATAGAAAAATGCTCAAGCTAAGAAATTTTTTTTGGTTTAAGAAAATTTTATTCAAAAATTTTTTGTTTTAATTCTAGACAATAAAATCTCTCAAAATTTTTCTCTTGATTCAATTTAATTTATTATTTTTCATCGACCAATTATGTGTTTTTTAAATTAGAATATTCACGCCTTAAGGGTCATACGTAACTAGTGGATATTTTTATTCAAGTCCATAGATGGACACCCTCCATTTTCCCTATGTGTCGAGAGTTTCGTCTCTTCCACTAAGTTCGATGGAAATCCATCGAACTTGAATACTAGTAAAGCTGGAAGCTTGTAGTATCTGTTCGTAGTTGTAAAGATGTTAATTAAATCAAAGATAAATGAAAGAAATTAAATGAGAGCAAAGACAAACTTTGAAAAAATAAATGGGGTTGGTTGCCAAGCCAGGAGGGTGTCCATCTATGGCCTTGAATAAAAAGATCCACTAGTTACGTATGACCCTTAAGGCGTGAATATTTTAATTTAAAAAATTCAATTTAATTTTTTTTTTGGAGTGTGTAAATTAAGTAACTTTAATTTAATACTAGCAACCTTGCAGAGTCACTATGTGACTGCCCCATGACTTGTGAACTATAAATAAATAAAATTTTTGCTTCATTAAATAATGACTTTTGTTAAATTGCACTGTACTTTTTTAACTATTGACATTATCAAAGATATAAGCTCATACCGATGTTACACTCATCAAGACCTTTCATTTGAGTACCCACATGCATTTTGATATATTTTTCATATATACAATCATGGTCATTAATTTAAGTATATGTTTTTAATATTACTGAAAAATAGTCGTTTGTAAACTAGAACGTTTATTAACTCTAAATTTGGAAATCAATTGATAATGTCATTTGTAAAATTGGTTGCAAATGAAAAATGATATTAGTGAAATTAGCGAAATGGAAATTTCACTAAATATAAATCCAGTCATTTATAAAATAGCGAAAAACAAAAATCTGTGGCTATACGTGAATTTAGTTAATTCTTACTGCAGAAACTTGTAAAAATAGCCGATTGTAAACTTTACGAATTGTAAAATTAGCCGTTTTTAAACTTCTTATAACTTTTGAATGGATCGGTCAAATCTGCTCTAATTTTCAGAAAAACTAAATTTATGAAAGTCCTTTTAGATGCCTCAAATCGTTTTTTCATCCGTCGATACATTCAAGAATTACAAAAGATTTCGAAATGGCTAATTTTACAATTCACAAAGTTTGCAATCGGCTAATTTTATAAGTTTCTGCAGTAAGAATTGAAGAATTGGTTAAATTCACATAGCCACAAATTTTTGTTTTTCGCTATTTTATAAATGACTGAATAAATATTTGGTGAAATTTTCATTTCGCTAATTTCATTAATATCATTTTTTATTAGCGACTAACTTTACAAATGACATTATCAACTAATTTTCAAATTTATAGTTTATAAACGTTCGAATTAACAAATGGCCATTGTCCAGTACACTTAAAAACATACTTAAATTAATGTCCACGATTGTACATATATAT